GTAAGACGCTGCTGGGGACAGTAGGAGACGCTGCTGGGGACAGTGATGTGGCAGCAGACGTTGGTCGAGCGCCCCAGCTCCACAGGACCCCGCAGGCACGTGGATGAACCCGTGGTGTTTGTATTTATATGGTAGGCAGCAAGTGCTTCAGCCCCTGGCAGGCTGCATGGACTCTTTTGTACTCTACTGAGAATTTTCCACAATGCTAGCGTTTATTTAATTTAAAAATAAAAGGCGTGTGCCGCTCAACGATGGTAAAGAAGATCTCGCGGTCCTGCAAGAGAGGAGACTCTGGCTGCACCTCGGTTCACCTTGTTCCCAAACTTTTCCTGGGATTTCAAAAAAAGCTGCACGTCTTAACATTTTCGTCAAAATAAATTCAGGCAAGGACAAGATAAGAAAAGACATTTTTCTCTCCCGTTTAGCCGAGTTTCTTTTAAATTTGGGGGTTTCCTCACACTTAGTTTCCTCGTGACTACAATGTCATTTTAATTGGCACTTAGTAGTTAAAAAAGAAGAAAACGCTTCCATTTCTAAGAACAGTTTCTCAACTGTGCTTTTCTGATCCATTTAGGATGTTACTCGGAGAAGCGAACAGGGTTTTACTGTGTCCCTGTCCCCTCCACACCCCCCCTCCATCTCTACAGAAGTAATAGATCCGTATTAACGATGGCTTATAAAAACACCAGCTTTCTCTTTGCCCTAAATTAAGACCATACGACAAAATTGGGGAACGCCGGGAAGATTTCAGTGAGAACACTCGTTATTCCTCATCTCTCCTTAGCTGATCTGTAGCAGCAGTTCCCCTTGGGAAGCACCACGGTACGTGTGTGACTGTCACTGGACCTTGCCCTGTTCCTCTCGCAGGGGAAGATCCCCACAGTGCGACCAGCGACCTTTCCTCTCAGGTTCTGATGGACTTCTACCACCAAGGAATCACTTGTTCTTTTGGGAAAAAAAAAAAACAAAACAGAATTAAACTTGTAATTTTTTGCTCAGGCAGAACTTTCTGACATTTACTTTTAAGTAGGGAGTTTTTGGTTTTGTTTTCCTTTATGGTCATGACTGACCAAAGTCAATCTGTGTCAAGAGCAGGATCTCTGTAAATTTACTTCGACTCATTTGTAATGCCTTATTTTCTTTATATTTTTATGCCTAGCATTCATGTTTCTAAGAATAAGTGTCCAGCCACGCACAGCACATTTGGAGGAGATGCTCTTTTCTATCTTCCAGGTCTGAAGTATGAATGGAAATTAAGAGATTAAAAAAAAAAAAAAAAAAAAAGAAAAAAAAAAAAAAAAAAAAAAAAAAAAAAAAAAAAGGACTTCAGGTTACTGTAACAGCAACTGTCTGTATATGAATTACTGTGCTTATCTCTAGCATCCACAGCTCTGGGACAATCGTACTGTCAAGGGGAATACGATTAGCAGGACAACCTGTATATTGAGCAACTCAACTGGAATTCTGGAATTTTGGTGTGCACTGTGATTGACACTTAACACTTACAGCAAGCAATACGGCAGGCTGAAGATCGTCCTTCCTTTTCCACGTGCTCTGGGTCTGGCCCGCCAGCAGAAAATTCACACAAACACACACACACACACACACACACACAGGGGAGAATAATTAAAAAAAAAAAACAGCCACAAAACAAAAAAAAAGGAAACTTCTAGCTTGTCTGCTTCACTCTGTGAACACACAAGGCTGAGAGAACATTTGCCACAAGTGTTTTATGACCAGTCCATTGCAGGAGAGGTGGGAAGGAGAAACTGGAAACGTCGGCGTCGCTCCCTGCAAAACCAGTTGGGCGTCTTGTAGAGGAGACCAGCGTAGAGTGGACGAGTACGACACGGTGGTTTGCTTGGGGAGGTATCGATGTTACTCCATGTCTTCATATTCAGAAGAAATATTAGCTCTTCCATGGAAATTCTCTTTCATGACTCTTTTATGTAATGTTTGTGTCAAATATAAAGACAAGAAGTGTTTGATAACTGGAATAACGTATGTCCGTTTGATAGTGCTTTGTATGAACAAAGGATTCTTGTTCATCAGATGTTGGATTGAAATAATCCAAAGCAAAACTTTTAAAATAAAATAAGATTTTAGGTGATCAATTGTAATAGTTTCTGAAGCTCTAACCTTTTATGTTTGATTTCCCTAGCTGGGAATTGAGCAGCGTGCTTTAACGATTGCTAAATTTCTGCCTCTCTAAGGTAATCCAAAGGCTCGCAGTTTATAACTTGTAAATTTGTTCTTCATGTCGAAGCAGTGGGACGTGATCGAACTCTCTCACTTTATCTGTACTGGATATTTTGTTGCAATGAAAGTGATTAAATAATTAGAGTGCACTGTGACAGCTGAAAAAAAAAATGTTGTATATGTATGTATTTTGATACCTGTTCAAAAAGAGTCTTTGGGTTTCCTGTGATGAATACCTCATATGTTGGGTTTTGAGAGTTTTTTTGTTGAATTTTCTTTTTTTTTAAAATTTTTTTGTTTGTTTGGTTTTTTAAGGCAAGATTCTTCTTGCACAAAAGTAGGTTAAGATAACCGAGTTCTCATAAATTTATTTACTGAATCAAAACACTTCAGAGTTTGGCAAGAAATTCCATCTGTTAACAGTTCCCCACCTTGCACTTGGTACAGGGTGAGCAGTCGCTCGGCCGTTCGCCTGCGCGCTTGGAAGAGCTCTAGCAATATTGAGACAAAAGAGGTCGTTGCAGATGGAGTTTGCTGCCTTATTTCTTTTATTCTGGTGCGTCAAAACCTCAGATTTAGTTGAACGTTGTATAGGCTTGGGGGTTTGTTAAGCAGTGGGGAGATGTTCAGTAGAAATAAATGTCTCTAGGTAGCGCTTCAGATCCTTTACGCACGTGCCCCGTCGCCTGGTGAGGGAACACTTGGAGGGGGTGGCTGTGCTCTCGGCGGGGTGCAGTTCGCTGTGAGGCGGTGGAAATGATGGGGAAAAGACCCATCGAGGCATTTTTGTCTGATGGACTGGGTAAGGCGTGGAGCTGGGTGCCTCAGGTGGAGCGGGCCGGGTCGGGCGTGCCTGCGCTCGGCAGCATCAAGCCCTGGCCACAAGGGTGTGCTGCAAAGTATAAATATTTACTCGCTGGCCCGTGAACTACGAACTAGGAAAAGTGCTTTAAAATTTAAAAAATAAACAACAAACAAACCAAACACAACACCTAAAAGGAAAACAGAACCGTTCGGGCACTCCCATCACTAATGAGCCTGTCCAGAACAGAAAACGAGTTTAACAAGCTGGAGATTGATTTACTTCGAGATTTTTTAGTTTTAACAAAAATAACGAGCCTTTTCGTGGGCTTATCTGACCTTGGCTAACATCCCGCGAATGCAGTTATAGACGTAAAGGTGTTTGTGTAGCGGATCGGGAGCGCGAGGGGCCGTTGGCGGAGGGAGGGAGGATCCCTCGTGGGTGAAGGTCGTTCCCTGCACGATGCTTCCAGCCTCCGGCACTGGGAAAATGCCCGACGCTTCCCGGCGCTCTGGACTCGACTCCGAGCTTACGTATCCCTTCCGAAGATAATCTTCTCTCCAGATCAGCTTTCTGCTTGTCTCTGTGTGTGTGTGTGACAACCTGGTACTTGAAAAAAAAAAAAAAAAGAAAAATGAAAAAAAAAAAAACCTT